GTCCTTCTCGTCGAAAAACTCCTCAGCGTAGTAACTTTTCCACCACTCCTCGAAGGATGGTGAGCAAAGAAAGTTAAGCTGGTAGTCAAACAACGAAAGAACTGTTCGACCAGCATATCTGCTGATATGCTTAGTGGCAGCTTCTTCAGTGTAGTCGTTGCAGAAGTATAACATAGACTTCTCCCTGGGAAAAATTGGAGAAGGTAGTGTTTGAATAATACCAAACTGGCGAGACACCAGGTTTGGTTGATATGCAATCAGACTCAAGTGAGTCTTAGAGCTCCTGAATCGAAGGGGCATTATTCTTGGTGTGAGGAATGCCTCCCACATTGTTGTATGTTCGTCAACCTGAGGACCACTCGACGTCCTAGGATGTGGCCTTGTGAACCACTCTGGGCCAACCTTCCGTCGAGCAAACGGAGCCATAGTCAAAGCAAACTCTTTCCTTCTAGCAAACATCAGAACGAAGTTTGTAAAAGTTTGTTGAAGCTCCAGCCCATCTTCCGTTGGAGTCAACAAGGCCAATCTGGTGCCTTCGACGCGTCTGTTTGCTATTTCTGGAGCCTGCTCATTTATTTGAATCTTCTTAGGCAAGAAAGACTCGAAAGTGGCATTGAGCCACAGTTGAAGCAGCCAAAAAGGTCCAGCAAGCAGTAGGCTGGCTCTGTTCTCGATAATCTTCAGAAGAGTCGCTCCGTTGCTAATCGACTCATACAGGCTAGCCAAAATCAATTCTGCCAAACAGATATTTTGGCCATGGTGGAGTTGAGTGGCGAGAGTGACCATCTTCTTGGTCACCTGTAAGGACTTGGAGCAAAACACAAAGCGTGTCAGCCATAAGGCTAGAAACGCAATATGTTCGACATCCGACACAGCATCTGTCGACCTATCGTGGTAGTGATTGATGAAGGTGGTGTAGGTTGGTTTTGTGGCAGAGAATCCAATCTGATCCTCCGACATTTCCTCCGGGTCGAAGTAGTCCCCAGTGGGTCGAAGGCCAGTGATGGCGGCCACATCGAAGAGTGTGGGAGTCAGCATTCCACAGGGAAGATGGAAGGTGAAATGGGTGTAGTCCCAGAAGAGTAAAGAAGCTATCAACATCTCTGGGGAATAGTTAAGACCTGTCTTCGACAGCATAACCAGGTCGAAAATCCCCATGTCTTTCCAGATCGAAGCCTGGCGTCTCTCCATTTTTTCCAGCCAAGCACTATAATCAGGAGTAAGGCTAGGGCCAGACCTGAAAGCCCTAACACCTTTGTTGAAGAAACGGAGGTCGATTTTCTCTTTAGCAGGATCCTCATTATCCTCTGCATCTTTCTTGGAGCATCCAACTGGTTTGAGTCTCTCAAGTACCGGAAAGTAACTTTTGATCTTCATGGCCTCAGCAATGCTTGGGTACAATGGGCCAGACATAGCAAAGATCTGGTTGGAATATCCAACCGGAATCATAAGGTGGCGTGAGTAAGCATCACGTACAGCAATGTCCAAAGGTTCAGGGACCCTTCGTTGGCCCGTGGGAGTCACTACTGGAGCGGTGGCGAAAACCCTAGGTTTGACATTTCCAGAGGGAGTGTTGGCGCTAGGAGCGTTGGAAGAACCAGATGCCATTGTTGGTGACGAGGTTGAAGACGAAGTGGAAAACAAAAGGTTTACAAAGTTGACAAGAGTTTGTATGCAAATGAAGAATTCTGAAAGCAAGGTAGCGTAAAAAGTCCCACAATGGGTACTTACTGCTATTTATAGTAGTGGGGGGAAATCCCCAAAATCGAGGACATTAAATGCCATTTAATTTTGCAGAAGGTAGTGGGACACGTGGCGTCTCCCTGTTGTTTTAGCCGTTCTGCAGAAATGGAAGGGTGCAGCGTGCGCCCTCGTTTTTAGGAATTGTCATGATGACAATTTGTGAAATGACGTTTGGCACACTGCACGCCGTACTGAAGTGACGTCTTAGGTACGGATGAATGATGGTATTTTCTTTGGGATTGTCAGTGGTTGGTAGAAGACAACAAAAAGTGCACAATTTAATTTGTAACTAAAAATGAAAAGACAGGTGTCGAATGGCATTTCAAAGAATGCCTTTTTCTTTCAGAGTCGAAATAAGGCATTCTTGGGGGGCAATTTGTTGGCTCTTAAATTCGACACCCTTGTTTCATTAATGTCAGCCATTAAAGCTGAAGGTTGTTTTCGACCAGCTAGGTCCGTCGAAATGCCCAACGAAAGATGGCAATGTACTTAGAAGATTTCTTCCAAGGGAGAAGTTGGTTGCCTTCGACGTCGAAGGCGTTTCTCGTCGAAGATGCTTCTCGACGAAGGTGTTCGATGGTTCAGAGTGGAACGGTTTGAAATTCAAGCATTTGGAGGGAAAACGGTTTCCAGCGGTTACCAAGTGCAACGTGCAAAGATCTGGAGCGTCGAACGTTGAGAACGTGCCAAGTGGGATCATCTCGAAGCAGTGTAACTGCCCGACGGTTACTTGGGATGTTTTAGTATAAATAGTAGTAGTTCACGCAATTTCTGGCGTGTGTTCACAATTATATACAAAGTCACTCATATAGATTCGAGTACCCAGCGTGTGAGAAAGAATTGTTGAGAATGTATGTGTGAAACACCAACTTTATTAATCAAAGTCATTTACTTTTCCAGAAACTTTACTTGCTTTCTTCTTTACTTTTCTGTCGAAGCCCCTTTATTTAAAGCCTTCATTTATTTTACCAAGCTTATTTCTTCATGCAATTTACTTAAAGCCTCTTTATTTTATTGTCATTTAACCATCATTCAATTTAATCAAAACCTCAAAATCAACCTATGTCCTAGGATCAATCTGATCGATCCTGCGAGTAACCAAATAAGTAACCATTTGGAGGATCAGCGGTTGTTTACCAATAACCACGGTAAACAATTATATTATTTGACAACAATTGATACACTTGACAAAAGTTAAACAACCACAACTTAAGGCATGTGTCAAAGGTTTGGTCGTTACATTCGTCCATAGAATGTCAAACAAGATATAGACCATAGAATGTCAAACAAGATATAGACCTCAAACAACATCTTAATCTTAAGTTAGATGAACCAAAATTTGGGACCAAAGCAAACATCAGCTATTCTCTTTCTTTATAAATGATTGTCGTTTTACCAAATTAAATTTATTTTAAAATTAATATTATTCTCATTTTTTAATACACAAATAATTATTATTTTTCAATTGTGTCTTTTAATCATCCTACATTATATCAACACATTTATGAAATTAATTTAGTAAATATGTAATACTTTAGGATAATATTATAGCATCCTTTAATTTGTGTTCTAAAACCTTAAACAATAATCATTTTAAAATAACTTTCAAGATCTTCAACAACTCAATATATCCAATGGGTTGAACGATGAAGGAGATTGACTTTGATATTGAACTTGCCGATAACCTCTCTAGCCTCTTTGTCGATGTTAGAAAATATAATGAAGCTCGACTATGACTTAGAAAACATTAGATTTATCTAGATGAAGAGTTACGGACTTCGATGACCTCTCTGTCAATGTTAGAAAATCTAATGAAATTCGACTATGACTTAGAAAACATGAAATTTATTCAAATAGAGAGTGACGGAATTTGATATCGAATTTGTCAATTATTGATTCTCTCTCGATGTTAGAAAATCTAATAAACCTCGACTATGACTTAGAAAATATTAGATTTATTCAAATAAGTGTGAATAAGTATTAATAAGGTGTCGTAGTTACCATTAAATTCCGAACAATGTGTAAAGCTATCGTAAATTTGATTACAATGGCCATATTCAAGATTGGCAAAGGAGAGTCGGATCTCATAACCACAAGCATGATGATCACAAATTTAAACCATTTGATCGATGAAGTTAACTATCGAATCCGAAAATTGATATGTATAGAGGAAAACCATCTTTGTTGTGATACCAACCAAATCTCCTCAAAATTGATGTCAATCGAGAGGAAAACCATCTTTGTCGTGATACCAACCAAATCCACTTAGAATGCTGTCAGGACGATATTGGATTCACACCATTAGGGCCATTCTATCAGCGAGACACTACAAATTGATTATTTGAGAAATTGACTTGGAATGAGTGAAACCGCCAAATCGAAGGTGATTGATAACCATGGTTACCAAAACTGTTGAAATCTCTACAAAGCAACGACGATTAGTTCGGATAGACCAAATAAAGTTGCACTTCAAGCTAATGTTTCAACAATGTGCCTCTTTGCCATATTGTGTACCACCATGTCCGTAGCTTTCCAACAACATTTTGTTTTTGTTTCAATTCTTTTATCAACGCTGCAGCAACAAAAATTGCACATAAGATCCAACTATTTATGGAAGGTGCTTGTTTGTTTGTTGCAGAAAAATGGCTACAGCCTAGCCATGGTTCCGTCTTCACACAACTCCGAATTTCAATGAGCAAGTCAAAACACAAAACGGGAATTACAGTTCAATGAGCAAGTCAAAACACAAAACGGGAATTACAGTTCAATGAGCAAGTCAAAACACAAAACGGGAATTACAGTTCAATGAGCAAGTCAAAACACAAAACGGGAATTACAGTTCTTGGGTCTAAAAATAAGGATAACTTGGCCCAAACATATTTTAGAATCGTAAAATTCATTTCCACTATCGGTTGCTAATTCTATTGTCAAAAGCAAGGCATAGGATAGGCAGCTTCGTCTATGTTATTGATAGAATTCACCCATAGTCAGTCCTTAATAGTTCTTCCAAAAGGAAGCAGATACTTATTTTTAAAAGTGAACAAATTCAGGCTCCATCATTTTTACTTTTACCCAATTTGCGTTTCAGGGCACCCAAAATATATGACTAGTTAACGAAATTTTCTAAAAGTATTCAGCAACAACAATTGATAACATAAAGCATGATAAACAAAAATGACAATCCGTTTGCAATACAAACTCCCTATACTAATGTTTTTCACCACTTCAAGTTTGGAGACAGGAGACTATGCTGTCAGTTAACGGCGGCTTCCGTGCTTCTCTCTCGAATCATGTTCCCTGGAGAAATTTTAAGTTTAGCATTTAAAAGTATGAAAAGCATAAACCATTACAATGTGAATACAAAGAACATAACTCCTACCTCTGGATGTGGTCAAGAATCAAAAGTCTGGGTCCTGGGGGAATTTTCACATCTCTGAGAGCGCTGAAACACATCATATGAAAATAAAGTACTTTCGGTCAATAAATGGTAAACAAAATAAGTGAAAATGAAAAGAATAAAAAAAATATACAATAAATAAAGCGTCCTACCTGTCATTGAGTAAAGGCAAAGTGTTGTCTGATAATAAGCCTTTCTTAAAATTCTTTTCGTAATTCTGAAGACCAAGGTTGTTCAACATGTTTCTTGTTTTAGCATAGTGACTATCTTCAGCCGGTGGTTGAGAAAACTTTTGTCCTATCTGCGTGATTAATGTAAGTTTAATACATTCTATGAGTCAAGGGAATACCAAGATAAAAACCTGCATTACATATAAAACATGGATCTAGGAAAGAGCATATTCCTTGGACTCTGAGTATTAAATCATGTCCAAAATATAAATCATTAGAGATAAAAGAAACCCATCAAAGATTAACTCATAACATTCACAATCAACACACATTCAGTAATGTTGCCAACATGAATAGTGCAACACACATAGGCCATTTTTAAGGCCTAATCAAAGATTAACTCGATATTCATAATAAACACACATTCACTGATGTTACCAACATGAATAGTGCAATACACATAGGTCATTTTTTAAGGCCTGGACTTACCTTTTTAAAAGTTCGACATGACTTTGAAGCCTATTGAAAAACAGTCCTTCAAGTAAGTCATAGGGCTATTGGAAAATAAACTCAGGCTTTATATATAGGCTAATAACCTTAAATCTTTAAATGGTACTAGTATATAACAAATTTACAAACTAAAAGTAATAGTAACAAAAAAAAGTATTAGTTTATGTTTTACTTCGACACACCAACTTGATAGGCCTAAAGGACTTTAGGCATGACCTAAAATATGCCTTTTATAAACTATAAAAGCTTTTAAAAAGTCATAGTTTAGTTTATTTAGTAAATATAAGCATTACTAGATCTGGCTTGGACAGAGAAGGTGGTCGACCGATTTCAATTACTAATGAAGAATTTATTGTTACCACTAACCAAATGGGGGCACAAAATTATTTCAGCTTACAAAGCTATCAAAAAGATACATTTTTTTCAAGCTCACCTGGAAAAGACCACCTTGAACAAGTGCAAAGAATAGTCCAGATGTCACTGCATTTGTTGCTTGATTTGGCCCACCCATACCACTTACCAATGAAAACAAGGCCCCGGAACCAAAAGCCGCCGCCATGCTGCAAAAAAATAATTTCAGCAACTCTTAGAATGCACGTTGGTGGTAATAAGGACACAGCGAATCAAAACACTGAACAGAGCATTAAGTAAAAGGAAATGGAATAGAGCTGTTGTTGGGTAAAAAATATAAACAGTCATGTGTAATATTTTCATCTACACTGGTAGTTAATATCTGGTTGTAAGATTCTCACAATACTAGCCTCAGAAAGACCTTCAAATACATTGTCTGAGTTTTTTCCTTTCATTTTGATGACTTTCAACCTATAGTTTGAAATTTAATAATGAAGCTGCAACCAAGGAGACTTCATCTTATTCATTAACATATAAAATACTTCTACACCACAAGTGTATTAAAATTTTGTATCATAGGCCAATGACACAACAGTGATGTAATTGTAAACAAGAAGAATAGCTAAAGCCTTTAAGCACTAATTGGGAGCTGGCAAAAAGAATATCTAAAGCTATTTAAGACTAGTTGGGGCTGACAAGAAGAATATTTAAAGCTTTTTAGCACTAGTTGGGGCTGCCTGCATGAATCACAGGACACCTTACATGTTATGATTTTAAGTTCAAACCAATAACAGAAAGGACAGATTATTGCACACAGTTCCGAAATCATCATAGTTTATTCGGCTCTTGTAGAGCAACCTCTAAGCATTCTTGCAAGTGTTGAATCTTACAACAGAAACAACCAAACTTTATTCCACTAAGTTGGGTCGGCTACATAAATCTTACTACAAAGATCATATTTATATTCAACTTGTTAATTTGAAACATTTCTTAACGGTTTTAATAGTTTCTCTTAAAGTTTTTCTAAGTTTTTCAATACTGCTGGTAGTTTGACTACTCTCCATCTGGTCTACTCTCCTTACAACATAATCCATGGGTCTTCTCGAAACAACTAAGTCTATTTTCCATCATCTTTTCTACTATAGATATTACCCCCAACACCCTCTCTAATATTGTCATTTTTAATCTTATCTCGTCTAGTCTTAATACATATAAATTTCCCATCATTTGGGAAACAGGTTAACAGCTCTGAAGTAACTGTTACAATACCAACAAATATACTAGAATATAAGATTGTATCTCATAATACTGAGTAATGAATATCCTTTCTGATAAAATAACTTTACAAGATAAAACTTTCAATATCCAATTCTCTTTTCAATTTTTTAAACAACATAACTTATTTATCTACATACATCACAGAATCTGAGAAACTACATACATCCTAAACTCATTGCATTTTCTTTTCTATTTAATTTCCACTTTAAAAAAAAATCGAATACAGTTTTATGAAGACACCTAATGATGAAAATCATTCCCAGAGATTCCACTAAACCACAATTCAGAAAATTATACGAAAAGAAACCCAAAATTCAACCAAAACTAGTGGAATTACATCTCTATTTTTTTCATTACATATCCATATAGCACAAATATTTTAGGGTTAATGATTGGACAGAACAGTAAAAAATTTAGGGCATGTGAAAAATTAGGTTATGAAATTTGACCTGGATTGAACATCTTCCTTTCCTCTCAACCTTTTCAAAACACATGTAATACCAGCATTAACTCCAGTCATAACAGCAAAGTTCCGAGCCTGAATCAAAGGACCTCCAGCAAGAGCCTATAGTAAACAAAACAAAATTATCATTTATCATAAGCAAGAAACCCTAACTTTTCAAATTAGGGTGTTGAATTACTTTAAGACACTGAAACGCACTCAACCTGTGCTTGTTTAAGAGAAGCCATGGCTTGAGGGTTAAGAGCCGCATTAGGAGGCGGAGCAAAAGCAGCGGGAGCGTCACCGGTGAGAGTACCCATAAAAGCACCAATAGCAGCGCCTTGAGCGGCGCTGGTGGTGGTAACAACAGCGGCTTCAACGGCGATGGACTGTTTGGAGAGCCAAAGCTTGAAACCATTTTCTAAGTGTTTGTAGCGCGTTTGAATTTGGTCGATTGGGTTTTGAATTTGCTGCGGTAAACCCTTCAACGACAGCGCCATCATTTTCTGATTCTTTCCTTTTTCCATTTTTGCAGTCTCAACGCCGCGGTGGAATTGGGAGATATCTAAGGGATGGATATTCTGTTTTGATAACGTTTTGTTTCGTACTTTGGCTTTTTATAATTTTGTTTATTTATTGCTTAATTATTGGAAAATTAATTAATTCAGACAACCGGCCTTTTTCACTGGAAACACCGAAGCGGTGCCATTTATTTTTGTGCGCTACTCACTGCACTTGGTCGTTTTTCATTTCATGATTAAATATTTCTCCAAAAACGTAAATAAAAATTAATTCAGTATCTTTTTATCAATTTTGTATTTTATACCTTAATTATTTAATGAATATTTAAAAAAAATACATTTTATTTTATTAATCAAGGGAGTATATTGATATCATCATTATACTAAATTATAATTCTATAATATTTTCCTTCTAAAACTTTTCCGCCAAAATCTATCATAAATAATCAATCAACTCATTTAATAAAATAAAAGATAAATTTTGCTATTGGTTTTGTTATAAATTAAATTTATTGTTTCTTATTCTTTTAGTTGATTGGAAACCGATTAAATACATTAATAATTATTAATTATTAAATATATTAAATAAAATAAATCCTAAAAAACCACTTTTATTGTTTCCTATTTTTTAGTTGATTAGAAACCGATTAAACACATTAAATATTAAATATATTAAATAAAATAAACCCAAAAAAACTACTTCTTTCACCAGCTTATTAATTCAAACTCATGTTTCATTAACAGGTCAAATAACCATACATTCTTATTTTTTAAATCATAAATCCATATTTTATTATACTGTTTCAAAATCTCACATCCAAATCCTAAATCCATGTTTTTCTAAATCGTAAATCCATGTTCTAAATCATTATCTCATTTTCTTCATGCGTAACTCTTCCACTAAATTAGTATAAATTCAATTCTCCTTCACCAAATTGGTATAAACTCATCTCTCTAATATTCAACATTATTTTTCATAGTTTATTCAATGACACTTCCAATAATTACTTTCATTGATAACATTCACGCCAGAAAGATTGATTAGAATTTGAAGGCTCGGATCATTCGTATATGGATTTAACTTGAAATCAAAAATTTATCTGAAACAAACAGTTTAGAGATGATTCTACTTGACGAAAAGGTATAAATATTTTATATTTTTTGTTTCATAATAATATTTACAATCTATATTGTTTTTTTTATATTTCATCTTTCTTTTTCATTGTAGTATGGAAAGATTCAGGCTACAGTAAAAAAATGACTTATCACTAAATTTCAAAAATCCTTAAAAAAAGTTCTACTTATTTAATTGAAAATGACTTAGTTGTTAGAAATGAAATGAAATTCAAACCAACAACACACAAGTTTAAATTGCACTTTATGGGAGTCACAAAGTGCAGTAACATAATTGCGAATGAAATTCCAACCGGTCGTTTTGATTTTGTTGCTTTTTCATATATCATCTCAGCTACAAATGATGATAAATTACTTGGTATATATATTATGTTATATTATTTTATATTTATTTTTACATTTATTTATCAATTTACAAAAAAAAAATTATATTTCATTTGCTCAATTTATATGTAATTGTTTTCTTAAATTTAACAGATGTAATTGGACATATTGTGAAAAAGGATAACATCAAATAAACTCAAAAGAATGGAAAAAACCATAAACTCATTGACATTGTTCTTGAGGATTTAGAGTAAGATTTAATAATGGTTTATCACTATTTAATTACATAATTTAATTTATGGTACATATTATTTTCTCTTTACTAATCACATATTTTCACATAAGTAAAATAATACATTACACTTTATGGAGAACTTATGCCGAACAAATGCAATAATATCTTTAAAATCACAATGAATTTGGTCCTATTGTATTTATCATGAATCCTTCCAAGTTAAAGAAATTGAATGGTAATTTAGATTTTTCTTTGTGTCAATGTTATTTATTATACTTATTTATTATTTCATCCAATTGTGTTTAATGTTTGTTAACAGGAATAATGGGAATTTCAAATGCATTTTTTTGGTACTAATTAGGGTAATCAGACCGTAAAACACCAAATTGCTTGCATTTAATGGAGTCTTTGAGAATCGTGCCCTTTGATATCGTCAATTCTCTTGAGATAACTAACTTTTGATTCAATAGAGTATTTAAGTCTATCTTCTTTAATAAGATTAAACTCTTCACTGATGTTCATTGTGTATAACTCCCTTGATGTCAAGCAGTTGTTTTGCATGGAGAAGAATGTTTATTATGAGAATGATAATTCTAATGCAATACTTATGTAAGTCTTTGAAATTTTATATGGAAATGACATTGCGACTTCTTGCGAACGAGTCACTTTTAGAGCGCAACACTTGAAAACTTTTTCTTTTTAAGAATGATAATACGAGCATATGATACCATCATAGATATTTAGCACGCATTTTGGGAGTCAGTTAAACGTTATCTCGTTGTAGTATGCTTTCGAATTAACCCATGCTTCAGTTAAGACTTTTCAGGATTGTAAAGTGACCTGGTTCACGGTTTTAGAAAAAAGGATTTAAGGCTCAAAATTATTTGGTACATATCCATTCTCCATAATGTTCTTCAGTCCTAAATTTAGCTAACTTGATACAAGCACTCATCTCTCAAGAGGGTTTTGTGATTTGAGGAATCCATAAGATTTTTGGACACGACAGTCACTCACCTTTGTTTTTGGTGTCTGATCACACGACTTTGTTCTTTGGTGAGGATTCTATTTTGTAATTCTTTTTCAGGCTTTTCATTTTTTCTTTTTTCGCTTTTCCTAACTTTTGCCTGGATAAATTCTTTTGAATTTTGATTTTGAAGTCCAGCGAGATGCCCTAATTTTTGCCTAAGTCGTTTGTTTTCAAGTTTTCGACTTAGTGGACTTTTTTTTTGTTCATCATTTTTTATTTCTTTTTTTTGAACAAATCGTGTGACCTCGAGTCTTTTTCGACTTTGATGGAAAGATGGTGACTGCCTCATACCTTGGCCGGTGAGGGATAATCATTTGTGGTTTCACGGCTTTCTGGACCTCCTGATGCGAGGGATAAGTTGTGGTGATCCTTAAATAGGACACTCCTTTTGAAATTTGAATGCTCGATCAGATTAACTAAACACTACTTTTCCCCTGGGTTTAAAAATAAGGGTTTTTTCTGAACATAAAAGAAACTCATACTTCAAGGCTCAAAGAGGTTAACAAGGATTTCACTCCCTTATATCTTCAGTGTTTGGAGATTTGAAACAATACATATACATCGTCAGCAGGATCTTACTCAAAAGCATACAAACCATGGATTTTTGCCTTTTTCAATTGTTGCCATCCTCCCTCCAATCTCTTCCTAGGTAAGAGACTTGGTAAAGTTGGTATCAATATGCAAGCAAATCATTTTTATGAGTGATAACAAATGGATTACTTCAAGACAAACATACTCATTGTATTTAAGATTAAAATTCAAAAACAAACAAGTTTCTAGCAATGTTTAAAAAAATAAGCAAGAATACAAATGAAAATGCAACAAAGAAACAAAATATTATTGTGATACGGTGGCAGAACCGACTGTTTTTACTGATTTGCGTTTTGAGTTTTTTGTTTGCAAAATGTCGCGGTAAGCAAGAGTCGCTACCGACTTTTATTTCATCCAACTGGAAAGGAAAAAAGTACAGAAAAAAAATCCTTTTTCGAGATTTTGAGTACGAGGGGTAGATTATAGAAAGGGAAGGTGTTAGCACCCTTTCTATCCATGGTTTTCCATGGGCTCTTAGGTACTTGCTCATTTTTAAATTGCTTGTGTTTGTGTGCTTGTTTTTGAAAAAATATTTTACTTCGTGATAACCCTTGTATCAGTCCTCAAAGGTGTGACGAAGTTATTTTGAAAATTGTTTTGAAATGTGTAAATGTGAAAAGTTTCGATTTGAGCAAGTACCTACAAGCATCTACTTACTTCGATATGAGAGCCTGAATAGTAGGGCTATGAGAAGGAACCTGGATGGTAGGGTTACTTCGATATGAAAGCCTAGATAGTAAGGCTGTTGAGAAGGAACCTGGATAGTAGGGTTATCTCGATATGAAAGCCTGGATAGTAGGGCTGTGAGAAGGAACCTGGATAGTAGGGTTGCTTCGATATGAAAGTCGGGATAGTAGGGTTGTGAGAAGGAACCTGGATAGTAGGGTTACTTTGATATGAAAGCAACAATAGTAGGGCTGTGAGAAGGAACCTGGATAATAGGGTTACTTTGATATGAAAGCCTGGATAGTAGGGCTGTGAGAAGGAACCTGGATAGTAGGGTTACTTCGATATGAAAGCCGAGATAGTAGGGTTGTGAGAAGGAACCTGGATAGTAGGGTTACTTCGAGATGAAAGCCTAGATAGTAGGGCTATGAGAAGGAACCTGGATAGTAGGGTTACTTCGATATGAAATCCTGGATAGTAAGGCTGCTGAGAAGGAACCTGGATAGTAGGGTTATCTCGATATGAAAGCCTGGATAGTAGGGATGTGAGAAGGAACCTGGATAGTAGGGTTACTTCGATATGAAAGCCGGGATAGTAGGGATGTAAGAAGGAACCTAGATAGTAGGGTTACTTCGATATGAAACCGGGATAGTAGGGCTGTGAGAAGGAACCTGGATAATAGGGTTACTTCGATATGAAAGCCTGGATAGTAAGGCTGTAAGAAGGAACCTGGATAGTAGGGTTACTTCGATATGAAATCTGGGATAGTAGGGCTGTGAGAAGGAACCTAGATAGTAGGGTTACTTCTACATGAAAGCCTGGATAGTAGGGCTGCGTAAGATTGCATTTGTCGTACCGATGATTACTCTGTTTAGCTTCGAGTGTTGATCATGGACTTGCTGGAAATTATTGACAATAATTGTCTTTCCTCAAAGAAATACAGGGTTAGTTATGTGCGATGCATGAGATGCATTGTATGATGACGTTCTCAAAATAAATGAGACTATGTTATATGTGATGTATGCACAT